CGCTGGCGCCAGCGCAGCAGAGCGTGGCCGACCAGCTGTCGAGCGCTGGATCCTCCACAGGAGGCCTGCAGCAGGGAGGACTGTTACCACACTGACACCTGATCTGAAACAACCACTGCAAACTGGATCTTTACCATTTCCTCATCGTTGTTCTGACACATGGAGATGGCCTCTTGAGGGGGCACCATGTTCCACAGCCCATCGCTACCCAGGATGATGTAACGATGTTTGCTGGGGTCAAGGACCACCACATTAGTGTCTGGCTCTGGAGAAACCACAAACTCCCCACTGTAGAAATTGTAGCTCCACAAATCACCTGATGAGGAACAAAACAACAGCTGAAACAGTTGATGACAAAACTTTCTTCTCTTTTTCTTCTTCTCTTTTCTTCAAATCGGATGAAGAGCAGTGCAGCCCTCCCAGAAAAAAAACGTTTGGAAGCAAAGAACAACACAACTGCACCAAGTGTGAAAGCAAAAGATGGGACAGTTTGGGAGACTGTAGGTGCTGGACACCTTCAGCAGGAAGAATTCAGCGCAGATGCTATGTTCCAAGAGAGGCCAGGACCTACAGAGCATGCCAAGGTAAAATTGTTGTTTGGTAGACTTCTTTGTGTTGTGTAAATATAAATATTTATATATAATCTTGTATTTTTGCAATGTGTGTATTGCTTTTGTAAGATTTGTTGAGTAAATTAACTACATTTTTTGTCACATGTATCAAAATCAAAACAAAGCAATGAGCAGTAAAACAAAAGTTATATAAATAGATAACATTTATKTATTTTCTTTCTTGCAGCGTAGGATAACAAGCAGACTCCAGAGCTTTCTGTGTTTGTTCAACATGGAGATGCTTCTGATCATCATAGACTGCACCAACCATGAAGCCCGCAGAACATTCGACAGCTGGAGCCTTTCTGTCAGTGAGCTGATGGCCTTCGTAGCAATTCTTTTTCTACGAGCAACTCTCTGCCCAATCGGTGCAATGATTGAGTCTTGGTCCGAAAAATATGCTGTGCCTGCAATCAAAGAGACGATGTCCCGTGACCGCTACAAAGAAATCATGCGATACTTGAGGTTTGACAACAAGGACACTCGTGCTGAACGTGTGAAGACTGACAGATTTGCTGCAGTTTCTGACATCTGGCAACGTCTCGTACGTAACTGCCATCAGTGCTACATACCAGGACAACACATTACTGTTGATGAGCAGCTGTTTCCCACTAAGGTCCGCTGTCCTTTTACGCAGTACATTTCAAGTAAGCCAGATAAATTTGGCATAAAGTTTTGGATTGCTGCAGACTTGGAGACAAAGTATATGTGCAATGCCATTCCATATTTAGGAAAGGACCCTAGTCGTCCCAAAGGAGCCAATGAAATAACAGACCAAGTTGCAAACGAGGCCATCAAAAACATGAAATTTATTCAAACAAAAGTAAAATGCATCATAAAGCATAAAATGGGGGGATTTATGGCAAAACGGTGAAAAAAAGAAAGAAAAGATTGATGGATTTATAGAATTCAACAGAAAACAGGAGAAATGCAGAGAGAGAAGAAACAGGAGGGAGGAAATGGTCATACTAAGAGTCAGATTTAGACACAGGGTTAAACTTGGCATTATTCATAAGAAGGAAACATAACAGGTAAATGTCAAGTCTGTGGAGAATTATAGAGCATGTGTTATACCAGTGGTTCCCAAACTTTTTATCTTCTGACCCACAAAATATCCATGGCAAAAACTTCTGACCCCAAATATTACTGTACTGGTCTGAGTACATGAACTTTGTTAATAACCCTAAAAACACAGGCTTTTTGACGATCTAAACAGCTTATACACAAATATAATACTTATTTTTACTTATTTTGTGTTTTTGTAATAGTTATAGGGAAAATATTACATCATCAATTATTTTATTACTCTTTAAATTGATTTCTGGAGATTATCCAAGGTGCTTCATGACCCATTATTGGGTCCCAAGCCCAACTTTGGGAACCAAAGTGCAATGGTTCCCAAACTTTTCAGCTTTTGACCCACAAAATAACAGTAGCAGAGACCTGTACCCCCAACTGTTTCTGGATGATAAACATTTGTATCAGGTCAACAAAACATGGGCACCGTAACAATATTTTTATACTACATTTATCCATTTTTAAATACACTAACCTCACTCCTTTGTAACAACTAAGGCAAAAATGTAATTAATTCAGAAAAACTTTTCAGGATCCCACCTTGATGTTTGATGACCCCAACTTTGGGAAACACTGACACTGCCAGAAATGTGAAAGAACTCAACTGATTAACAGTATAAAACAAATAAAAGTTTGATCCAATTGAATTATTGCAAAGGAATACAAAATCTTACAGTACTTGGGCTTTAATATATTATCTGAAACAGAATTGTTTGTAAATTGTTTGCAGTAATGTACGGATTAAAAAAAGAACACTTTTTTGGAATACAGTTCCAATTCTTCACCAGATGGGGGCGGTAATGCATCAAAAACACCAAACAAAACCCGAAGAGACGGAAACAGAAGAAGAGGACAAGGAAAAAGAAAGGCAGCTCGGTAGCTTTAAGCTAAGTCAACAAAACTCATTTGACAGCCTAAGAGAGAGAAACCATGTTTGAAAATTTTAGAGGAAAACTGCACACGGTCCAGCAAGATTTCTCATCTAGGTGAGTAACTGTTTTAGCTCTTATTTATTACATTATGTTGGATGTTTTCACACTAAAATAGGTCATTAATGTGTTATTTGAGCTAACTAATCATTTGCACCTCTCTTATAAGCTTTAGGATGGCTTGGACAGTAAACAGTGGCTGTTTGCTGGATTTCACAGCTGTAGTTCTGCTTTAAAATCCACTTCGACCGTGTTTATTTGCAGTCAGCTGACTTTGGTCATGTGATGTGTTTATCTGCACAAAGCCTCTGAAATCAGCATGAAAACCTGTTCCAAACAGTGTTAATGATCAAGTGAATTACATAAACTGTACATTAATAAACACTGCAGTGGGTAGAAAGACTGTTTCATTAAAAAAAAAGCTTTGAAAAGAGTCATCAGCTGTACAGAAAGGATCACTTCCTCACCTCTAACATCTGCTTTCAAAACTGTTGCTGCAAAGCTGTAAAACCTCAAAGCACCAGACAAACATATTGAGTGATGATGACATTTTGTTAACATTTACTAAAGGCCTGAGCAGACATAACACATCTTCTCTTCTTAAAATCTTGTCAGCCTCCTCATCTGTAATCTCAAATTACAGATGCCGTGAAGGCACAAACTACTCTATACCCCCCCCCCCCTTTTTTTTTTTTTTTGACATTTTTTATGTCTGAGCTGCTGGTTTAAAACAAAAAAATTAAAGCTAAACAGAGACATATCTTTGCTATAATCTTGGGCATACAAACAGGCGTACGTCTTCTATTGGTGGTGTTTAATCTCAACTAAAGCATTTGAATGTCAAGGATGAAGCAATTGACGCATTAGACTTTAACAAAATCTTTCATTTTAGAATCAAAACTCATGGAGAAGTCGGATGCATGTGAGGGGGAAGGGAGGGAGGGAGTGTTTGGCTGTTGCGTCTCCACCAGCTGCAGTGAACTGGTCATCATCTCTGAACATGTATAAATGTATATTAATTTTTTACATGCCATGACCTTTACTCGGGGTGGGCGGTTACATTGGGGGTGCCTTCCTTGGTAGAGGAAACACTTGTCAAACAAAGAGGGCTAGTTCTGATTTATTTAAAATATTATCTTGGGGGCCAGATAAAAACATTAATGAAGCTGGATATGACCCCGGGGGGCTTTGAGTTTGACACGTGGGCCAAGGAATCTGGTACAAGATTCTTGTAAAACAATCGACTCAATGTATTTAAAGACCGCTTCCTGAACCCTTTATAATGAACTATTTGGTTTCAGTTTGAGGGTCATGAGACTTTGGTTTGTGCTTCACAGTGTGGGCAGCAGCAGCAGCAGGATTGATTGTACTGTTTGTTTCGAAAAATAATTATCTAAAATGGGTCAGCTACTGGTCTACATCCACAAGTTGTTCTAAAAATAGTCCTTTTCTCCCTTTTAGCTTCAAGACCCTTGGAGACATATCAAGAGAGACCAAACTAAAGAAGAGATCCAGGTAATCATACGACATTGTGTGTTTGTTTGTTTCAGGAAATTGGCTTCGGGAAAATATTAGAAATACACTGGTTGTATGAGGTCCTGGTAGGGTTGGGCAACATTGGTAAATAAATTAATCACGATTAATTGCGGTATTTAGCCGATTACGATTAATTTGATGATTAATCCCCCGGAGTCCCTGGACACCCTTATGTCCTGGTCACATGACCAATTTATAGGGTGAAAATTCACTCTTCATAAAAATCTGTTCCAATTTGTGTCAAAATTACAGACTTCAGGCCATACATCAAATTTTAAATTGTGTTGATAGATAAATAAATTACAGAACTTTTTTAATGTTTGTTATATTTGAAGCAGAGAGGAGCACCAAGTGGTTAGTCTGCCGGGTGGCATTAATCGTATCAATCGTCAAGTGCCAAAAATTAATCGATTAATGTTTTTCTGACGATTAATTGCACACGATATGATTATGCCCAACCCTAGGTCCTGGGCAGGATTTGTTGTGGAGGCTGACTTTCAGTTAAACCACTACTAACTTCATCATGTGTTTTTATGGAGAAAGCGGATCACCTGGTTTGTCCCATCTTAAAGAACAAGTAAAACAGTGGGAGCTGTTTGAAATTGTTTGTTTATGAACTAACGTTAATTGTTACTCTTCTTTTACTATTAGTTCTTTAGTTTTTTCATGTTTTCTATTGTTCTGTGTGCATTTTTTTTTTTACTTTTGCATTATATTTTACGCTGTTTTTTATCCCATTCTGCAAGATTACCTTAGATGTTTTGACAAGCACTTAAGCTTAAAGTGCCTGTGACATCCAAAATTTTTGTAATAATACAAATACATTTTTGGAAAGATAACACTGAGAACATTTTACAAAATAATTTTCATGCTGCTGAGATGAACAGTTGTTGCGATATTTGCATGTGAAGTAACAGGAAGTGATGTCAAAGGGGAACGTCTGCATGAAAACAGAGCTAAGCTAAAATGCTCAACAGCCCAGACTGTGGAGAGGAATCTGATGTTTTAGATTATTTTTATTTCGAACAGACATTAAAACAATCAAAAAGAAAATAGAATGAAACAAACTTAAGAAATAAAATGTAATACAAATTATTTTGCCCATGTGACATGCAAAATTTTATATTTTCTGTTCAAAAAGGAGCAGGTAGAAGATACATCTTATAATGTCCTGCCCCTTTCCTACTTGTCAATGTATTATCAATTAACTTTCAGAACATCAAAAAGAGACAACTTGTTTCCATTTTACATTATGTTTAACTATGTAGAATTATTTTAAGTACTATTTATATCATCAATTACATTATAGACTATTGAACATTAAACATCTTGTATAGCATATTTTGAAATGAGCTCTGCTTTAATGAGTTTTTTTAATTGGTTTACATTTGTAATTTTTTTTAACTCATCATTCAATCCATTCCAGACATTTACTCCACACACTGATAAACAAAAACTCTTCCTGGTTGTTCTAATATGTTGTTTTTTAAAATGTCCTTCACCTCTTAAATTATAACCCCCCTCTCTGTCACCAAACATTTTGAGTTGTTATCAGACAGAAACATAAAGAAGAGTCAGAGTTCAACTCATAATGTTTCAATAAACAAAGACCAGCGAGTTATTTTTCTTAAAGGAGTTCCCCTTTGATGTCACTTCCTGTTTCCCTTTTGCCAAGTTCAAAAGAAAATAGGTCAGTAATGTGTCCAAATGAGTAAAATAATGTGTGGTGTGCCAAATTTCTTAAATAGAACAAGGTTTTCTTTGACTTTTTGTATCTGAAGGATAAGCATGTCACAGGCACTTTAAAAAGCAATTTTTACAAAAACAATACAGAAATGATCTGACAGGTAAACGTTTGAACAGCTAAAATATGAATTTACAGTCTATAAGTTGTTTTATTATTATTATTATTATTATTATTATTACAATGTCTGATGCAGTGATCATTCGTTAGCAGCTCACTCTAAATAAATAAGTTAAATAAAGTGAAATGGAATAAACTATTAAAGAGTTTTGTATCACTTTTCTATCCAGGTTTGAAGAAAGTTCTCCTCATTTTAGTGCTGGGCTGGAAATCTTAAGCAGGTTTGTACACACAAACACATTTAGTGGACATTGAATTAACATAATGGGTCCCCTTATCTCTAACTCTACTTCTATCCTTTAGCATTGACTCTGACTTCTATGTGACTGGAAACCTATCCCTGAAAACCCAGTTAAAACCTGCTTAACTGATGAATTAGTGTAAAACATTTGCAGAATCAAACATCTGAATCGCCGTGAATAAGATTTCCATGTCATACTAGTGTGCTAATGAGGAATGCCTTTGATCTTATCAGCCAGCAGGGTGCTGGTGGGAAATTACAACTGGCACAACAAAATTGGTGACAAGAATGAGAGCTTAGTGTTGAGTCCACCGCCTTTCCTGCAGCACGCTGATGAGCCTTCTATTCCATTTACAACATGTCAAAAAAAATGACAATTACATCAGAGGAAGGAGGAGCAGTACTTATAGTGGACATAGGATTTTGAATATGGAGCTACCAGGGAGAAGGGAGCATGAAAGAAGATCACAAGAGGAAATGCAGACAGGTGGAGGATGCTGAGAAGAGGAAGATGGAGGCAGATGATTTACTGTGGCGACTTCTGAAATAATTTAACAAATAAAAATAACCCTGAAACAAAATCTAAAATTGAAGAAAGCATCCTGGCTCATGTATTAATTTAAACTCAAAGTCAGACTCTTCTAAAAGTGTTTAATTTTGTTTTAGGTATGAGAAGAGCTGGTTTATGCTCCATAAAAGAACCAAGGACTGTGCCCAGGCAGCAGAGGTATGGAGTCTTTTCTGTCTGCCTTTTAGACATATAAATTGTGTTTTAATGTTACAGAAAACAGTTACAATTTTTCTCACTATACTTGGATAAATGTGTGTATTTGATGAATAAATGCTAAATTAAATGACTTTGGCCCAGTGGTCTCACACTGGGCAGGGCCGGTTTTGTTGTTGGTTTGTTGTTTTTCAGCAGGAGTTCTGATTGTTTATACTAAGGTAGTATATGCCACAAAATTATTTAATTCAATTTAAGCACAAATAATTTGTTCTCTTCTCTGTCTCAACATATAAAGTTCAACAGAAAGCAATGCAACCATTAATGACTAAAATGCTGCAACGATTCACACTGAACCAGACCTAAAAGGGATGATTTTTGTTTAAACCAAGAACATAATTGTTTGTAGACGTGTATGTGTGAGTTTTTCACATTCTGGGTCTCACACACAGTTGATGTCCTCAACTCTTTATTTTCTTTCTTTTTAATGTTCAATATTTTCTCCTTTTAAAGTGACAAGCTGCTTATATGTTTTCATTAACATCCACACTCGTTGAAGGAAGCACAAAAGACCTGGGGTCTCATTTATAAAGGATTGCGTGGAAACCATACTAAAAGTGAACGTACGGCCAAAAGGCGGAAATGGCGTACGCCAAATTTTTTTTTCAGATTTATAAAACCATGCGTACGCACGTTTCTGCGCACCTTTCATTTATAAATTACAGCCGCACGTCAGAGTTTGCGCACGAGGTCCCGCCTCAGGTTCTACCCTCTACACGCCCACACTCAACCATAAACAGTCAATGTAAAGTACCTCATGAATGTTAACATGTATTTAAATCAGTCAGCTGATCAATGCCAACAGAAGTGATTGGTTCAGACACTCTCCGTGCATCTGGAGGTTGACAGGTGCTGACTGACAGCTGCTCACGGGAACAGATTGTCTGTAATTGACACAGATTTTCCCTCATTTTGCTTTAGAGTGAACTAACGATTTTTTTAATAAAAAAACCTCAGCTTCAAATTAATTTTCCCTCAGAGCCTGCAGGACGATAAAAACAATAAAAATAAAATTAAGTCAGATTAAATTAGAAATAAGTCCAACACTCCTCCTCGTCCTCTCCCCCTCCTGCCTGCTCTGTTATCTGCGGCAGACACCCCACCCCCCGCGCGCGCGTGACAAACACGGACTTTAAACGTGAAGTTTTATAACATCCACACTGTCGAGGTGGATGCGCCCTGCGCGTGTATCCAAAGCTTGACTTTTGCTGTCCTGCTGTTCTTATTGGGGAGGGGTCTGTGGGTCAGGGAGGGGTCTGTGGGTCAGGGTCGTCTGAAGAGGAAGGAGATGAAGGGAGTTGCGCACGGGAACTTTTATTTAAGATTTAAGTTTTTTTTTATTTCAAAGGTCCTCGTGGCTCAGCAGCAGAAGCATAAATAGTACAGTTAAGAAAGCTGATGATAAAGTTGAAAAAAATCTAAGTCTGATGAAGGTAAATTAAATATCTGACAGTGATCATTACACAGTGTGGCTCTAATTCCTCACTTCACCATCTGTGTCGCAGTTTCACATCTCCAAAATGAGCGTACACATGGGTCAGAGCTGGCGTGAGGCACCGCACATTTTCACGTCAAGTTTGGATTTTATAAATCACAACCTTGGCATAAAAAGTGGCGTACGCAAGTTTCTGGGCTCAAATTGTGCGTACACCAGTTTTATAAATCCGACCCCTGGTCGTGTTATATAAGATAAAAAGAAGTATGCACCCATTTGTTTCTGATTTCTTTTTTTCTGTCATTAAACTGTATAAAGGCTGTATGGTTTGAGTCAATAAGAAGTCTGTGTTTACAGCAGCTGTTTCATCCATCTTACAGTTTTTGTTTTTTGTTGTGATTTCTTTCAGTCTGTTGATGGGGATATAGTGATGCTCTCAGCCCTCTGGGAGAAGAGAAAAGCTGCTCTGACACAACTACAGGAACAGCTGCGATGCTTACCAGACTTTATCCGAGAACTTGATGCCATCACTGCAAACATAGGTATGATTTCTGTTTAATGGGTTTTTTTTATCTATTATGTCCAACTTTCACACACACCCTCTCTCACACATGCACAGTCTAGTCCTGCTATCCTTACAGGGACTTTGCATTGACTTCCATTCATTTCTTCAGCCTTAATGGTTTTGTGGTCATATATAAATATCCTATGTGTTTTTTTGGTACATGTTTGTAATACAAATAACTTCCTGATGATGTATAACATTTGTCCATATATTTTTTAAACGCAGGTGATTGTCATGGGACTGAGTGGTACATGGCTTGAACTTATAATATAGCACTTTATCCACTCCTTACAGACTCCATTTTTAAGCTGCTATTTTAAAGGGATCCCTGATTACTTGTAAACTTAGACATTATTTGATAATGTTTTACTTAAACTGTAAAACAAAGACCGTAGCCTGCTTAGGTTTAGCAGGTATAGCTTGGCGCTAACGTGAAAGCTAACAGTTTAAACTGGGGATCTTCAATCCATCCACATTTTCAGTTGCAGGCTGAAGCATTTCTACATTCTCCTCTCTGTCAAGGTGCTCTGGTTTCATTTAAAAGGGCTGGTCGTCAGATATTGTCCCAGATTAATCATCAGGGTGAATAAGAGCCTTGCACTGATACAACCTAGAGAGTGTTATCCTATAGCTGGTATGCTTCACAACGTTATTAAAATGTGACAATGTTGTTTTTTATTTTTATTTTGTAAAAACTATACAGCCTACACATTTTATACAGTCTTTGTTTTACACTTACAGTAAATATTGATCAAATAATGTCTAATGTTACAAGTAATAAAATTATTGTATTCAATCTGTCTGGTGTGTGGATCTTGTCGATTTTCTGCATTATTACTGCCTTTTTGAGTCCATTCATTACACTTTATTCTGTCTTTGATGTGTGTGTTTATATTTTTGATGTGTGTGTTTAGGCCAGTCAATGACTTGTTAAGCTTTTTTTTAATGCATAAAACTCCTTCTCAAAAACAACATATTGCTCTGAAAGATTACTACTTTTGTGAATTTCTCACATTTTTGCCTGACACTGTTTATTTAAACTAATTTTTTTATAGCTCATTTGGAAGGCGACTTTGAAGAGATGGAGAGCAAACTAGTTTACCTGGAGACTCTATGCTGTCAGTGTGAACAACAAACTGTTAAAACACACCATATGACTGAACTGGACGCCTACAAGAAAAAGAAAAGGTAAGACACTTTAATAGTGATGTCACATGAACGTGATAAGTTTTTTTAATTTTCATTTAATCTTTTTTTGAGTTGTCACATATTCTTGGTTGATTCTTAGTTTTCCTTTTTACAGTCATTGTTTAGCAATGAAGGTTCAGTTACTCTGTTATTGACAGCAAAGACTAATGAGCGTAAGCATGGTTGGTTGTTGGGGGATAAATAATGACTGTGTTGAATCATAGAGATAAAAATGCTGGATATTATTCATTGTGGTATTAAGTCATTGTTTGCCATTCGTTAATAAGAAACACAAAATAAACTAAAGACTCAAAGAAATAAACTGACATTGTCTAATATTGCTTGGGTTTTAACAAGAAATGGTCTGTTTTGTAACAGGAAGGAAGTTGAGTTACTGGAAGGTGAGTTCCTGTATGTACTTGTTCATCTGTCAAAATGAATTAAAACCCCTAAATCCTAAGAAGTTGTGACATTGTATAAAATGTAAATAAACACAGAATGCACTCACAAAATTCTACATTTGTCAAAGGAAATCGGGTCATTTTGAATTTGATGGCAGCAACACATCTCAAAAACGTTGTTCCAGTACTGTGTTTCCCCACTATGAAGCATCCCCTCTTCTTTTAACAGAAAGTAACATCTAGGAACTGAGGAGAACAGTTGTTGGAGTTTTTGGAGGGAAATGTTGTCCCATTCTCATGACGTAGAATTAGAGATGAGTAACGTCCTTATCGAACCTCAGATTCAAGAAGAGCAGTGTGGTTTCTGTCCAGGTCCTTAGAACAATGGACCAGATCCTTACCCTTGCAGAGTTGCTGAGGGGGTTGTGGGAGTTTGCCTCTCCGGTCTTATATGTGTTTGGTAGACTTGGAGAAGGCTTACGACCGTGTTCCTCGAGGCTTTCTGTGGGGGGTGCTGTCGGAGTATGAAGTATCTGGGATCCAGCCTCTATAGAACCAAAGCAAGAGCTGTGTCCACATTCTTGGCACAAAGACAAAGTCGTTCGCAGGACTCTGCCATGACTGTCTCTTGTCTCAGATCCTGTTTGTAGTGTTTATGGACAGGATCTCAAGGCACAGTCGTGGAGAGGAGGGGCTCTGCTGTATGCAGATGTTGTGGTTCTGTTTGCATCTTCAGACCAAGGCCTTCAGCGTGCACTGGAGCGATTTGCTGCCAAGTGTGAAGCGGCTGGGATGAGAGTCTGTTCCTCTAAGTCTGAGGCCATGGATCTCGAGTGAAGGGTGGAATGTCTCCTCCGATTTGAGGGAGGAAGGTGTTTCTGCTTCAAGTGAATTTGAAGTATCTGGGTGTCTTGTTCATGAGTGATGGTAGGATGGAGCGAGAGACGGATTGACGGATTGGGGCCTCGTCCTCAGTAATGAGGGCGTTGCTTCGGTCAGTCGTGGTGAAGAAAGAGCTGAGTTGAAAGGCAAGCTCTCAATTTACTGGTGTCTTTTTCCCAATCCTCACATATGGTCATGAGGTTTAGAGCAGGGCTTCTTAACCTTTTTGACCTTGGGGCCTAATTTGTTGAACATAAAGTGGCACAAGGTCCAGTCAGACATTACCAATGTATGGATCAAAATGATAATTATTCTAATCAAAATCTTGATTCATTTTTTATTGTATTTACATCATACAGTAACTAAACTATCATAACTAACATAACTAAATTAAATACACTTACAGTTTAAAAGTAAAACTCCTGTCAAATAATCACAAGACATGATTAAGAAAACATTTTTATATTGTAACTGCCCATAACAATTATTTGAACAAATACAACAGTCAGTCAACAGACCATTCAGGCTTATCAACACAAATATATATA